AACAAGAGCGAAACTCCGTCTCAAAAAAAAAAAAAAAAAGAAAGAACGATAACAATTATTGACAATGATGTGGAGAAGGGAACCCTTGTACACTGTTGATGAGAATATAGATTAGTACGGCCATTGTGGAAAACTGCATGAAAGTTCCTCAAAACCTAAAAACAGAGCTACAATATCATCCAGCCATCCCACTACTGGAAAAACATCCAAAGAAAACGAAGTCAGAATGTTGAAGAGATGTCTGCATTCCCATGTTCCTTGTGGCATTGTTCACATTAGCTAAGACATGGAATCAATCTTAGTGACCTTCACTGGATGAAAAAATACAGAAAATGTGGGGAATTTGTATATATACACAATGGAGTACTACTCAGCCTTTAAAAGGAAGTAAATCCTGCTACTTGCAACAACACGGATGAACCTGGAGGACATTATGTTAAGTAAGCCATGCACAGAAAGACAAATGCCACATCATCTCACTTACATGTGAAATCAAAAAAAGTTGAACTCATAGAAGTAGAGAGTAGAATGATGGTTGCCAGCGCTGCTTGGGTAAGGGATGAGGAGGGCAGAATGGGGGAGTTGGTCAAAGGATACAAAGTTTTAGTTAGACAGGAAGAATAAGTTCAAGAGATCAATTGCATGCCATGGTAAGGATAGCTAATAACAATGTGTCATGTATTTGAAAATTGCCAGGAGAGTACTTTTAGTGTTCTCACCACAAAAAATGTGAGTTAATACATATATTAGCTCAGTTTAACCATTCAGTAGTGTATACATATTTCAAAACATCACGTTGTACAACATAAAACGTATACTTGTATTTGTCAATTAAAAATAAGTTTTAAAAATCAATACAAAAAATAATAATTTGAATTTTATCTTTCTGAACTGGGCCATCTGTCACAGTTGATCAATGCCTCCCATCCGTGAGGCAGGTTCTTTTCCAGTAGGCCCTGTCCTGCAGCAGTTAATGAGACCAAGCCAGTCTCTTGCTTTTCTCTCTTGGAATTCTGGAAAGACTCAGGAGAGCACTCAGTTGGGGCGAGTGTCCTCCAGTGGATCAGAGGAAGGCTTCACAGCTGCCCTGGACCTTTGACCATCTGGCTCCTACACACAATCATATAATAATTGTACAGCCTCACTATACACACCCTCTGAACCAGCATTGCACCCCAGTTGTAGAAACCCTGCAGCAGAATGATTTGGAATCTGACGGATCTAAGTTCAAATTCTGGATATACAATATATCTCCTGCATACTGTGAGCAGCATCAATTAAGTGTGAATCACTTAATTCTCCTAACCTCTCTGAGCCTTCCAGTCTATCAAATGACATATTGACAGTGTTGTGAGGATTAATAACATTGTGTGCAGTGCCCTGTGTGTCATCTGATAAGAGAGGGTGTGAAAGAGTAGGTAGTCATTGTTAGAGTAATAGATTTGGTAGCACTGATACCACAACGCCGTGTGTAGACTTAAGTAGACATCTAAGGAAAATAGTCAGTCTTCAATAAACGGTAGTTCCAGGGACAGTAGTAAATATGAGTAGCATTTATATAACAATAGTCCTCCTTACAAGTGGTTTCAGTAACCTGCAGTCAACCATGGCCCAAAAATATTAAATGGAAAGTTTCAGAAGTAAACAATTCATACGTTTTAAATTGCACACCATTCTGAGATTTCATTTCAGCAGGAAATCTCATGCTATCCTGCTCTGTCCCACCCAGGACACAAATCATCCTTTGTCCAATGTATCTGCACTGTCCACACTACCTGGCCGTTAGTCACTCAGTAGCCATCTTGGTCACAGATCGACTGTGGTGGTATCACTGTGCTTATACTCAAGGTCAGTAGCACCTAAAGCTATGCTGTGACGTCTACGTCACTGCACCTCACTTCCTCCCATCACATAGGCATTTTATCATCTCACATCATCACAGGAAGATGAGTACAGTACAGCAAGATATTTAGAGGGAGACCACATTCACGTAACGTTTACTACAGTATAATGTTATGATTATTCTATTATTATCAGTTGCTGTTAATCTCTTACTGTGCCTAATTTAGAAAGTAAACTTCATCATAGGTATCTGTGTGTAGGAAAAATGCATGGTATATATGGAGTTTTTTGCTATCTGCAGTTTCAGGCGTCTGCTGGGGTCTTGGAACACTATCCCCCATGGATGAGGGGAAATTACTGTATCTGTAGTCAAGCCCTAGTGTTTTCTCTCTATTGCGTTTGCCGCCTTGGGTAAGATGCCCGAGGATGTAAAAGGCACACAAAAATGTTTGGAAGGAAACAAAGGACATCTCATTATGACAGTGTTATCACCGTGTCACACGGGGATGTGGCCACTCAACCACAGGATCCCTCCCTCCTCTGAGTCTCAATGGGAAACAGTTTCAGTCCCCAGTGGAAACTTCAGAAAGAAACCCAGCTCACCAGCTCCAAGCCTGAAATGTCCTGGGAGCCTTAAACTTTCTGGCTGTTTATTGCATCCAGCTGAGGGGTTCTGTGCTGAATTTATCACATGGACAGGGAATCCCCAGGCTTTTCAGGGGCTAGAAATCTCTCTAACCCCATTCTGATACAAAGAGGACCCCCTGGATCTGCCAGATGCTGCAAACTAATAACATGGAGAGATATAAAAGACACATGGCCTCTGCCTTCAGCCAGGCAGGGAAGAGAATATGCACATAAAATAAATAAGGCTGGACTGGTCAGGTAAGGAGGAGACAAAGCTAAGGTGGACCTGGAAGGGTGGGAACTGAGGAAGCAGAAAGGATTAAAGAAGGCTTTCCCAGCAGTGGAACAGCTAGGGCAAAAGGTGGTGGCACACATGGCAGGCATGGAGGAAGCCAGCTAGCATGGAGGATCTGTGGCTCCGAGATGGGGGATCCCAGCTGCCCAGATGAGGATCCCTTTGGTGGTCATGTCTGAGCCTCACGGCTCAGAAGTCTCACAGAGACACATGGACAGTCACACAGACTTGAAGCTGGTTAGCACCAAACTGGGAAAGGCCTTGAGTTCCAGTCTAAGGAGATGTGAGAAGAGGCATGATGGCTGACACAGTGTCTGCTGGTGGAGGTGATGAAGGGTGGCCTGGAGGACGCCTCTGCATGAGTCCAGGTCTGTGGTGTGGAGTGAGGGAGAGGAGGATGTGGGCACCTCCTCATTCTCGGCCCTCATCATCCTGGTGCCAGGTTTGCCATCCTCACTGCTGACCAGTCCTTATCTCTTGATGTTTTCCCTCCCAGGATCCAAGACCCTGAGCTGCCCTAGGTCTCCTCTTACCTTCACAAACATTCCTTATCTGGGACGTTTTTCTCTTTCAGCCAATTACTGGTGTTCCTTAAAGCACAGAACACGCATCTGACACTGTCTTCTTTCACACATTCAGCCTCAGTCAGCTTTTCCAGCTTCCTCCCCTCCACTGTCATTCGTGGCTTTCAGCCCTAATGATCATGTTTTCAGCCCTGTCCTCTGGAAGCTCAGATGCTTGAGAAAACTACTGTACCTACTCTCTCCTCTCTCCACTCTTCCTTCCACCCAGCTTCTAGGATCTAAATTGCTTCCATTTGTTAAGCATGTTCTATAAACCTGGTATATTTCATGCAATCTTCACTGTGGAGGAGGTATTACCCCATTTTACACATGAAGAACCTGGGAGGCTAAGTGACTTGGGAGTAAGTAGGTGAGGAGACCAAGTGAGAGGCTGTACAACTTGGGGATAGGAGAAGAGGCCACTAGACTCCAGAGGGCTGATGGCTGAGACTATGCTCTAGGTGCTTTCCAATGCTCTGGACACATCTCTAGCTCCCACAATAAATCTCCTGCCAACACAGTCCTGGCTCAGCTCAGCCCACCCTTGCTGCTCAGACACTGATGTGTCCATGGGTCTCTAGCCTGGGGTTCCTGGTATCAAAGATCATCAGAGCTCGGTGGACCCTCTGGAATCCAACAGCTTCATTTCTAAAATGGGGCTCTCAAGCTCAGAGAGGGATGTGGAGTTAGCCAAGATCACAAAGAAAATCAGAGGCAGAGGCCGGACTAGCCCCAAGTTCTTCTGATTTCCGGTCTCATTCCACTTACACTAAGCCTTTTTATTTGCCTAGTGATTTATATTTTGCAAGATGTCCTGACATACAGTATCTCTCATGGTTTCCTTGCCATAATCCTGTGCCTAGATGTTCCCTCTCTATGTAACAGATGGGGAAACTGAGGCCCACGGAGGTGAAGAGACTTGCACAAGGTCAAGGAGCTGGGTGAGTGACAACCGTGGACACTCAGGAACAGCTGAGTTGAAAATGTGGTCACAAGGTGGCAATCGTAAGGATTCAACATAAAATCCCATTTCTATCCAAGTACAAGAAACAAAGCCCAGACAGGCCTCAGGGAAAGTGGGAGTAGAGGCCTGGAAACAGGGTCCCTGTCCCTCACAGCTCAGGGCTGTGAGGTCTCTCCCCTCTGCTGCCCAGCACACCTTTTATCATCTCTGGAGGACCTTCGTTTTCTTCTCCATCACCTCAGCCGCCCTGTGACCTTGAGTTGCCAGCACACTAGCTCTGGGGTGACAGAACCCTACGCACCCACAGGTCATAATTAGATATTCAGCAGAGGCATCTCCTCAGTCCAGGCTGGGACACATGCGCACCCATGGTAGAACTCAGGAGTGGCTGGGTTGCTGGCAATAAACATGGCTACCTAATGCCTTGCTTTCTATGATGGGGGTGGTTCCCAGAGAAGTCCCCGTGGGCAGTTGGGCATCCTGTCCTGCATCACGGGCATGAATCCAGACCTGATGTGTTACCCCATGCCACAGCTGCCCGGGCTTCCTAGTCCTTTTCATCCAACTCAATAAAGGTTTGACCTAATCTGTGCAAGCTACTGTGCATGGTGCTGTGTGCAGCTCACCTTCTGTCAATCCCTGGCCTTCCTTTGCCAAGGGCAGGGACAGAGCAGGGAAGTCTTTGTCTCTCCTTATAAGGCAGATCACCATGCAGAGCCTCGGCAAGGAAAACCAGAGCTCTGTGTCCGAGTTCATCCTCCTCGGCTTCTCCAGTGAGACGCAGGTCAGAATGGCCCTGTTTGCCCTCTTCCTACTCCTCTACCTCACCACCCTTGTGGGCAATGGACTCATCGTCATGCTGATCTTCCTGGACTCACACCTCCACACGCCCATGTACCTTTTTCTCAGCGTCCTCTCTCTGGTGGACATGAGCTATGTCACTACCACTGTGCCCCAGATGTTGGTTAATATGGTGTGTCCACAGAGGACCATCTCTTGGGGAGCTTGTGCAGCCCAGATGTTCATCTTCTTGGTCCTGGGCATTGCTGAGTGTGTCCTCTATGCCATTATGGCCTATGACAGGTACGTTGCCATTTGCTTCCCCCTTCACTATACGCTACTCATGAGCCATTCCATTTGTGTCAAGACGGTCATTGTCTGTTGGTCCATTAGCATAGCTGGGGCCCTGATCTACACTGTCTTCACCTTGCATCTGCCTTATTGTGGCCCCTACAAGATAAACCACTTCTTCTGTGAGGTCCCTGCTGTCCTGAAGTTGGCCTGTGCAGACACATCTTTTAATGACAGGCTGGACTTCATTTTGGGTTTCCTCCTGCTTTTGGTCCCACTCTCCTTCATCCTGGCCTCTTACGTACTCATCTTTGCCTCTATCTTCAGAATCCGCTCAGTGCAGGGGAGGCTCAAGTCCTTCTCCACGTGTGCTTCCCACGTCACTGTGGTCACCATGTTCTACGGACCGGCCATCATCATGTACATGAGGCCCGGTTCTTGGTATGACCCAGAGTGGGACAAGAAGCTAGCGCTGTTCTACAATGTCATCTCTGCCTTCTTCAATCCCATCATCTACAGCCTCAGGAACAAGGATGTAAAGGAGGCCTTTCTGAAAATATTTAGAGTCAGAAGGACAGCTTAATGGCTCAGGATGTTTCAGAGTTGTCCATAGTCATGGGCAGACTGGATGGGCTCATTTGGTACCACACAGGTACCTCATCTGATCAACCTGAGTCTTCCTGCAGCTGTGAGCAGCCAGAAGAGGGTGTGGCCAGCCCTAACCTGAAAGTCGTCTATCATTGATTGGAAAATGTTCAGCTCCCGTCACCCAAAGACTCAGTTGAGTATTGAAGGCAAAGGATTTCTTTACGACTATGTCCTTGTGGTTCAAGGACATAAAAGCCTTTTGGATAAGGCTTTTATCCAAAAGTCAGGAAATAACAAATGCTGGTGACGATGTGGAGAAAAGAAAACCCTTGTACACTGTTGATGGTAATGTAAATTAGTACAACCACTGTGGAGAACAGTTTGGAAGTTCTTCAAAAAAGTAAAAGTAGAGCTATCATACAATCCAGCAAGCAAGCACGCTGCTGCTTCTATACCCAAAGAAAGGAAATCAGTATATTCAAGAGATTTCTGCACTCCCATGTTTGTTGCAGCACTATTCACAATAGCCAAGAGATTTGGAATCAACCTAAATGTTCATCCACAGATGAACGGATAAAGAAAACATGGTACCCGTACACAATGGAGTACTATTCAGCCATAGACAAGAATGAGATTCCGTTATTTGCAACAATACGAATGGAACTGCAACTTATCGTGTTAAGTGAAATAAGGAAGGCACAGAAAGACAATCTTTACATGGTCTTCCTTATTTATGGGATCTAAAAAATCAAAGCAATTGAACTCATGGAAGTGGAGAATAGAACGATGGTTGCCAGAGGTTAGGAAAGGTCGTTAGGGATGGAGGGAGTAGGAGAAGAGGCGGGGACACTTAACGGGCGGCAAAAAATACAAAGTATGAATAAGAGGCAGTGTTTAATAGCACAGTAGGGAGACTATAATTAATAATAATTTAATCATATATTTAAAAATAACTAAAAGAGTATAATTAGATTGTTTATAAAACAAAGAATAAATGCTTGAGAGGATAGATACCCTATATTCCATGATGTGATTATTATGGTTTGTTTGCCTGTACTAACATATCTCATGTATCCCATAAATATATCCCCCTACTATGTACCCATAAAAATTTCTTTAAAATAAAATTAATAAATCTCATTTTTATTTGAGAAAACAGACACAAGTTGATCATCCCTTATCAGATACACTTGGAACCAGAACCATTTCAGATTTTGGCTTTTTTCATATTTTGGAATATTTGTATTACAATTACTGTTTCAGTCTCCCTCATCTGAAAATCCAAAATCTGAACACTCCAATGAGAATTCCTTAGAGCATCAAGTGGGCACTCAAAAGATTTCAGATTTTGGAGGATTTCAGATTTTAGATATTTGGATTAGGGATACTTAACCCATATACACATTTCATAAAAGAAAAATATATGTGTGCATTGTGCATATCTATATCTATATGCACCTAACAATAGACAGAAACAGATAAAAATAGAGATACAGAAACAGAGATTATGGAAAATTATATAACAAAGATTTCATTTTCCCCCACAGAAAAGAAACATTTGTTAATATTTTGCCATTTTTGGTCTGTCTCTTTTTTTTTTAAGGATTACCTAATAACAGATAGAGTTGAAGTGCCCTTTGAGCATTTCAAATTTCCCTGAATCAACCACAATTGCATCCATGAGCAATGCGTAGGATTGTTCTTGCGTGTGTTTAAATTTTTGTAAGTGGTAGCATGATGTCAGTACAACTCAGAAAAAATTTTCACTCAGCTTCATGTTTCTGACATCCGCTCATTTGATAATTATAGGGGTAGCTCATTCTCTTTAATAAGCCTCTGAGCTTATTTCAGTTGTCCAATTTCCTATTGTTGAATATTGGTTTATTTCCAAATTTTCACTATTTAAATCATTCTATGACTAATGACTTTGGGCATTTCTCCATATGTACACATTTTTTAATGCATAGAAATAGACTTTGCAGATTGCAGAATCAAAGAAATTTCCAATGTTTTAGATACTGCAAAGTCTTTTTCCATATAGTTATACCAACTACACCTCTCACACTCACCAATGCTTCACATTGTTTATCGATCTCAAACATTCTAATGTGTCCATCCATCTCATAGATGAAACGTGGCAACATTATTTTTTGTTTCATTTGCAATTCCCTGGTTGCTAGTGAGTTTAACATCTCTTCGTGAGATTGTTGTCACTGTTGTGTAGTGCAGCAGGCTCTGGAGTCAGACTGCAGGGTTTCAATTCCAGTTCCATCGTTTATGAACTCCATTTAGTGACAACGGGCAAGTAGCCTAACTTCTCTGACTCTCAACTTCCTCATCTGTAACTGGAAGGAACAGTATATACATGAGAAGTTTGTTAGAAGGAGTAAATGATACAATACATGTAAAGTGCTTTCTGTAGTGGATAACAAATACTAAGTGCTCAATGAAGGAGATATTGTCTTTTCTTAATTTGTAGTTTGTTGTACATTTTGGACATGAATTTTTTGTCTAGTACATGCATTGAAAATATCTTCTATAAGTTTATTACCTCTTTATTTAAAGTTTAATAAACTTTTAAAAAGTTTTTACTTTATTAAAAGTAACACATTTTAAAGCATATTTATGTTTTAAAATATTATAAAACAGAAATGAACAAAAAGAAGAAAATAAAAATTATTCATTACCTTAGACCTGAATATAACCACTAACATTCCAGTGTTGGTTGGGTGCAGTGGCTCACGCCTGTAATCCCAGCACTTTGGAAGACTGAGGCTGGCAGCTTGCTTGAGCCCAGTAGTTTGAGACCAGCCTGGGCAACATGGTGAAACCCTCTCTCTACAAAAAATGAAAAATTATCAGGACATAGTGACATGTTCCCAACTACTGGGAGGGCTCAGGTGGGAAAATCCTCTGAGCCTGGGGAGGTTGAGGCGACAGTGAGCCATGATTATGTGACGGCATTCCAGCCTGGGTGACAGAGTGAAACCCCCTCTAAAAAAAACAGAGCCTCCCCCAACATATTCCAGTGTCTATTGTAGGGTTCAAGTTTTTTAAATTGCTTCTGTTGATATTTTTGAAGAAATGCACATAACATTCTTTTTTTTTTTTTTTTTTTTTTTTTTTTTTTTTGAGATGGAGTCTCACTCTGTCACCCAGGCTGGAGTGCGATGGTGCGATCTCGGCTCACTGCAACCTCCGCCTCCCAGGTTCAAGCAATTCTCCTGCCTCAGCCTCCTGAGTAGCTGGGATTACAGGTATGGGCCACCGCACCCAGCTAACTTTTGTATTTTTAGTAGAGACGGGGTTTCAACATCTCGGCAGGCTGGTCTCAAACTCCTGACCTTGTGATCCACCTGCCTCGGCCTCCAAAAGTACTGGGATTACAGGCGTGGGCCACCGCGGCTGGCCCATAACATTCTTAAACAATTTATTTGTTTTCATGAATTTTGAACTGAATTATACAGCATTTATTCTTCTGTAACTTGCCATATTCACCCAGTAATAGTTTTTCTGACATTTATTTATGTTTATTTCTTTTCACTGCTAAAGAGTATTCTTTACATTTCTTTATGGTGAATAGAACAGAATAATGACTTTTGATGAACAGAATTCTTAATTTAATGCAGATGAACTTATGAATCTTTTCCTTTGTGGTTATAAAGTGAACAAATGTCAAAGATTTTACGGAGCTCATCAACTCATGAAGGAACCAATAAGGTATTAGGACTGCTTTCAAGAAAGAATTTGATTTATAGAGATTTATATTCTCTACTGAACAAACTTCATTTGTATTGTAATTAATAAGAATCATTTGTATTGTTGTGATCATATTGCATTGCATTGCATATACTATTATAGAATTGCATAGCTATTCTATAACTTAATAGCTATGACTGCAGAGTTGTAAAATACCTTAGTCCTTAGACAGTCAATCAAAGGTGCACTTTGACTGCCTATCAGATAATTCTCAGAGGATCTGTTAGATGACACCCTAAACCACACTGAGAGGGCCCTAAGTAATTAACCCCTCTTGCTCTTTTGCAAGGCTTAGATGCTTTTTTTCTGACAATAGCCCCTCTTGTGATCTTAAATAATCTTCAAAGATTATTTTTGATCACAAAAAGACTGGTCTCATTATGTTTGGCCTTATTGTTTATATAGGTGTAATAAGAACATTAACCATATAGGCTTTTTTGAGTTTGCTTTGCAAATCTAGAGACATGCAGTATTGAGCAACTTCTAAAGCCAAAGAGTAACCTCTGGTCTGAAAGCTTTCATAAAGAATCTTAAATTGGGCTTTAGACATCCACTGTTATTTGATATAATTCCAAATTCACTGTAGTTTTCACTGGCCAAGAAGTGATTCTCTTTTTTCTTTTCAGGCAGATTACATGATACTGACTACTGACCAAGACTTAGCAGAGCTAGAGTTAATTATGGAGAGTTGAATGAACCAATGAGGTTATTTGTTTAGATCGTTGTTGCTATTATTTTTAATGTTCTATTTTTTATGGATATATGAAAAACCCTTTCTTCCCTCAAGCTGTCTCTAACACTAAGTAAGTAGATCCTGTTTTTGTAAACTAAAATTAAACTTGTATCTGATTCTTATTAACCCATAAGCATTCAGAGACTCATTAGTCTCCTTACTTTTTATAGCAACATAGTTATTAGCACCAATAGAAACTTTTCTTTTGGCCCCAGATATATTGGTCAAATGAATTATATAGCCAAGGTCATATTTGAGAATTACCGTCTTTTAATCAGGGTTAAGTGTACTTGTAGATCAATCTCACAAAGTCTTCCCAGGAAAACTGGCCTTTTACTTGTCTTGCAAGATCCTGACCTTAGAGGCGGTAAAGAAAACCACTTCTTTCCTTTGAGCTAGAGCTACAAGGTTAAAAAAGAAAGAAAGAAAAAGAAAAGAAAAAAAGAGAATCACTTCTTGACCAATGAGAACCTTAGTGAATTTGGAGGTATAGCAAATAACAG